GAGAATAAAAAAAAAAAAAAACATATCGAGAAATATGATGAAAGAAAAAAACGAGGGGGGGGGTCTACGATCTTTGGTCGAAATTTAGCGATCCGACGAGTCGCGTCACGTACGCTAGCAGTTACTTCCGCGCGAGACTACACTCTGCCCGTACATACACGATATATACGCAGTCAGTGGTACGTGCTGTCTGCCGGCTGGTAGAAATTCACGGGGAAAAGTGTATATAAAAAAGAAAAGGATAAAGGAGGAAAAGTAAGCTCGCCACTTCTGGGGGAGACGCGGCCCGGAAATTGAAGAATCCACGCTATACACTCGCGCCTAAATTATTTATCACCTTCTCCCGCCCCCTCTCGCCCCGTGTGCTCGTGTATACGCTCCGAGGAGCGGGCATGTGCACACGAGATAATTTTCCCGAGAGCGGGGGACAGCGCCGATGCTCTCTTTTGTCGGCCGCGTGTTTTCCTTCCTCGGGTGGTTAAGCAGCGAGAACGGCTGATTTACGGCCGACTCTAATGGTCGTCTTGATAAAAAGCGAGCGCCCCGTCGATGTCGCTCGCCGTTACACGAGGACCCGCGTACATGTATATTATATACGCCAATGGGGGGGGAGGAGGGAGACTTCCGTGTTGTATATATATATACGTCCCTTGTTTTTTTTTTCTCGCGTTCGCGTGATCAGTGACTTTTGTGCGCGTTTCGCGTGTTTTTTTTTTACCCTCCTCGTTTGGTTTAATTTACAGCGCCTCTCTCTCTCTCTCTCTCTGCGCTATTACAAAACTCTTTGTTAACCAAGGATACGAGTTTTCATCGGGAAAAAATGGCAAAAATCAAGTGGCTACGCCGAACGTTTGTTTTTTTAACATTCCTGCTGTATGTACGACCAATATCGCATGGGTCAAAGCTCCCATGCCTATAGCGTTATTACGAGCAAATAGCCGAGCGCTTATACATACATACATATTTAAGAGGGCGGTGCTCTTTACCCCGAGCTTCTCGGTCAAAAGACGAGCTTGAATACACACCCAAGGCTTTTTTTTCTATCCGTCTCTAATTTCTAAAGCCTCCAACTCTCTCTTTTGCCCGTTTCCTCGCCCTTTTTCGATGCGGAGCTCATCTCTTTTTCGCCTCCAGCTTTTTCAACGTCACACGAAAAAAGAAAAAAAAAATTTTCCCTCAAATAGCTCGGCGATGGAGCGATTAGCATTTTGCTTTAATTACACGCGTGCCATAGTCGTCCCGACTATCAACGAGTGCTGCATCCCCGCGTTATTATTCAAATCCCTCATTTTCCCTCTGTCTCGTTGTCCCCCCTTTCGTTCTTTTATATATTCTGTTTTCTCTCTCTTTTTTTTTTTTTTTTTTTCCTTCTCCGTCCACGCTGCGTCGACCCGAAAAATTACGAGCTGCTGGGAACGGCATGCTGGAGATTAGTCCCAAAAGAATAGCCCCCCCCGAACTCGGGTAAATTAGATGCATGCACGAGAGAGGAGAGGAAACGTATTCTTTGAAACCTCGCATTCTGTCCTCTCTGCTCTTTAAAATCCAAATTTTTGGTGCAGCCCTCCTCTCGACGCAAGTTTACGTCGCAGATGACAATCAACCCTCCGGTGTGGGGACGGGGGATAAAACGATAATTAAGGCTTTGTTTATACGTGCGCTATTGTAGCGCAGTACGAAGCCAAGAGCGTTTCTGTGGCGAGCTGAACCGAAACAAAGAGCACTGCGGCCCTAATGTGCAACTGCAGTGGCTCGCATGTCGGGGTTGGAATCGAGTGCAGGAGAAGGAGAAAAAAAAAAAAATGCCGTGGCACGCTAAATATGAAATGTGCGTGATTCGCCGACACCCCCTTGCGATGCGCGTGCATGTAGGGTATAATACACGCTCCCTCCCCTGCGCCTACTTGAGATTAAATTTTAATAAAAGGCGTCTGGGACGCGAGATCAAACGGTGCCACTCTGCGATAATTGTACCACATCGACCTTTCGCTTACGTGTGTGTGTGTTACAACGTGGGAAGAAAAATGAAATAAAGTAAACTTGTTCTCGGATCGAGTTACAAAAAATGAAGAAAAAAATATCAACTCGGTGTTGCATTACGGAGGGGCTGTGGTGAGAGGATCTTAACTTTCGTGTCAAAAAGCATCGCGTTGATCGGCCATAAGAGGAACAAGGTGTATTTGTTACCTTCGTTCTCTATATATACAGGCTCCCAAAGTCAAATATATTTACTTAAATTTTATCATAGTGTACACTCGTGTCAACGAACAGCTTACAAATCAAGAAAACGGCATAGTTGAAAGAAAAAGAAAGAAAAAAGAAAAGAAAATAGCTGAAATAGGGGAGCCGTAGTTTTTAATAATCGCCACTCACTGGTGCAAAAGTTCATTCTCCACCGTGCCTTACCTGCCCTCCTTTTTCTCCCTCGCTCGAATAAGCAAAGAAAAAAAGAATAGAAACGACAGATCGAAAAAGCGATGCTATCGGTCGCAGGTGTGATCGCGAATTACAACTCTCCCTCCACTTTCCGCAAAGCAAACCCTTTTATTCGGCCCCTCCCTTTTTTTATACACACACACACACACACACAGCTCCGTGACTTTTTTCTTTCCTCCTTCCCTCCTCCTCTGTACACCTCGCGGATCAACGTCCCTTCCTTGACTGGTTGCGTGCCGCCCTTGGCGTATGGCTATTAGAAATTTTGCATTTTTCCTCAAACACCCGTGCCCCGAGCCCTCTCTACTTCCGTCCCAGTTATACACACACACACACTGACCATACGCTTTTCAATAAAAACCTTCACGCCACTTGTGCCTCCTAATGGCAACAATCACCGTCTCGTTATCAAAAGGAAAAACCTCGTTATTGGAGGCCACACTTTGCTTCCCTCGTTTGTACGCCAGTGCCTTGTTCAACATTCCTGTCCCAACTACGACTAAGACGCAACAAAAAGAGAGAGACCATTACGCTTGAAGAAGAGCTGTTTTTTTTCTTCTTCTTTTGGTACACATACACCTCCTCACGGGGAACTCTCGCGGGGTGGTCTTTTTGCTCGGTGTAGGCCCTCGTTCCGTCACACGTAACCCAAGAGAGCAACAAAAGCCAAAGACGGGGGAAGAACAACAATGGCGCATACAGCTGACTCGTAGCTCGCTTCGATACACCCTTTACGCGCCTTATATATACCTACGTGCCAAAAAAAAAAAAAAAATGAGGATGGTAGTACACAAGCAGAAGCAGGAAGAGGACGTGCCGGCGTTGATTGGCCTGTTTATTGGCCGCTCCCGAAAACCTTACCCTTTCTCCTCCTTCTTTCCTCCCCCCTCCCTACTCACCACTACAGAGCGATTATACGCACGCACGTGATGAACGCGAGCGCAGGAGGAGGCGGCGATTAAATTATGAAAAGAGATCGGCGGTATAGTGCAGGGGAACCGTAGCAGCGAGGAGGAGCTTCGCGTATTTTGGGCTTAAATCACTTTAATTACGCGGCTATCCCCCTTTTTTCTTGATCAGAGAGAGAGAGAGAGAGCGGCCACGCGTGTATGTGTACAAGAGCCGGCGTTATTGATGTAGCATTGTCTGCTCCTTCACCGGAGCTTATACGCGTACAAGGGGCTTGCTTTAATATGTTACCGCTTCATTAATGCGCCCCCCAATACGACCGAGAGCAGGAAATTTAAATCTTTCAACGGGGATGCGCGCGACAAGTGCGTTCAACGCGTTTTCGCAGCAGTACAGCTCGTCGTAGGTAGGGGTGGAGCGTCGAGTTGTTCCTACTGTTATTTTTAATTGAAATTTTTTTTTTCCCCCTTTGCACCGTATCGAGGTTTGACATTGCGAGGCCGACAGCTGCAACATATATATACATCCTCACCCCTCCCTCGAAATTCAAGCCCCCGGGTGGTTCGTGCAAAGTGGTCGATGCGTCATTCTCGAGAAAAGTGATTAAATCCCGTCGAAGAATCCGAGGTATGTTTCACACCTGCGTGTGGTGTATCCCTTTTTTACCTTGTGCGCGATTTACGACGCGCGTACATCAACGCAGGGCCCGCAACAATCGACTCGAGTGCAATGGGATACGGGGAGAGAAACTGCGGAGTAACTTGTTTTTTTTTTTTTCCGGGCGAGCGAAAGAAGGCCATTGAAAACTAAATTAAATCCAAGAGAGAGAGAGGGGCCACAGTTTCAAATCGCAATTAAAACGCGGGATTTATGGTCCAGAGGTTGTACACGGAGCGGGACACTCGATACTTCTCTCGCCCTTACGTGTGTCTACATTGTACGTACACGCGTATACACCCCTTTTTTCCATTTATCTCTTCTTCGATGTGCCCCGTGCACTCTCGCCACTTTGATGAATGCCCGTGTATTGTATGCACACGCATACATGCGGATGAGAAGCCATAGAGTCGGAGACGCGAGCGAGAATCGATACATACACTTGTAGTTGGTGATCGTGGGAGTATGTGTGTAACCTGGGAAAAATAAAACCGCAGCGGCATTTGTATAATCTACGACACTATGGAGGGATGCCAAGAAGAGGTGGTGTCGGATGTTTTTCTTGATTACGCTATAGCAGGGAGGTTTTGGGAGAAAATACGGCGTGGGAGCGAGGAAGGGGGGCTAATTGAAAAATGTGGCGTGATTAAGGACGGGCATTGAGTTTCGTCAAAATGGCGTTGGAGGGTAATCACCCGGCTGAGTAATGGCTGAGATATACTTTCGATTCGCTAGGAAAATCGTAGCCGAGGCTGTAATCGGATTTGGGTGGAGTTGAAATAATTTTTCCTCCCAGTAAACCTCGTGTAGCACTTGGTCTTGTAATCGCGAGACCAAAATCGACGCGATACGGGGACTTTAATTTGACGTCTCGTTCATTTTGATGGATGCGTCGTTTGTAGTGTATGGTTGTGTGGGTATTGGCCTTGATGTCACCCCCAAAAAGTAACAAGTAGTGCAAGGACATCTCGGCTAAACGATAACTGTATGTGTTGCAGGACCGGCACGTGAAAGGCGCCAACCGAGACCCGCAAATGGACTCGAGCCAGGATTACCACCTACAGTCCGGTTACGAGAACAAGACCCATACGGTGTTGCGCTTCAGCCGGAGATACGACACCTGCGATCCGAGGGATCTCAAAATAACGGTGAGTCTTTTTTTTTTTTTACTTTTTTATTCATCCCAAGGTCTATTTTTCTCAACGCAAGAGCGTACAATAAAAAAAAAAAAATTAAAAAAAAGAGACGACGCTTAATTAAATTTCACGAGCAGAGAAAGCGTGTCTCCATGTGCGCGCAGTGTCACCGCGTATTATGCAAAGCACGCGTGACGCGACCCAGTTATGAGCGAGTACATTTATACGATCTGCCCTTATACGGCGCGCGTTGTCGCATTTTATAAGCGTCAAAGTGGCGCGACACACGCACAAGCAGGTGGAGCTTCGAGATGAAATATATAATAAACTTTTGCAAACTCGGCCTGCTTTCGCGAAGCAAAACAACCACAAGCTACGATAAAACACTCGGAAAGGGTATGTATGCATGTATTTTACGCAAGTGCCATTCCAACGAGGGAATTTTCCTTCGCTTGGTTTTTTCTCGTCGATAAGCTACCGTTCCCTATACATATACATCGCTACGTCGAACCGAACACGATCCCTTTTTTTTTTCCCCAGCTCTTGCTTGTCTTGTAGGTTTTGCGGCCGGTCGCGTCGTGCACCCAAAAACCGGCCGGCATCACGCGTCAATAAAAATCAGCGGAGCCGAGCGGCCTTCCAAGTACACATACCTGATGTCCTCCTCGTTTATTTTTTCTCCCCCCCCCCCCCGCGACAGCTCCTTGTCTTCATATTTCCATCCAGCGTCTCTCGCTCTCCTTTTTTTATCACCCCGAGGAGCCAGAGATCCTTCACGCTCCGCTGCCTCCCGGGCGTGTTTCTCTCTCCTCCTCTTTTCTCTTTCGGTACATTTATCGCGCCTGCTTCTTTGCTCTGCTCTTCTTTTTTTTTTTTTTATTTCAACTCGCTGTGCCAAGTCGAGAGGCAAAGGAAGAGCATAGGATGATGCTCGTTTTGCCAGCGGATTGCGGAATTTTATGGTTTGCTTAAGAGGTTACGGGGCTCTCCTCATCCCCGGGTCATTAAGGCCTCGTAAAAAAAAATCGAGGAGCCGCGACTCGGGAATTTTCACGAACGAAATAAACGCCTCGTATCCTGCGAGCTCTCCTGTTTTTTTTTTCCCCCTGCACTCCATGCTGGCAGACGATGAGTTTTTGCTCTTCTCGCGCACGGAAATAATTTTAACGACACAAGTACACCAACGAAGGTAAGTACCTCCTTGGCGCGAACTTGGGGGGAGGGGCAAAGAGGGGGTCGATTTTGGAAGACTGTATACTTTCATTTGGCAAAGTGAATCCTCCTCATTACCGCGAGTCCTCGATTCGGCTCCTCTTTTGCGGTAACAAAAAGGTGGCCGCACCCTGTTCTCTATGGTCCCGTCTTTCGAGGCCAGGCTCCTTGAACGACGGCCAATCTGGGGACCATCAAAGTGCAAAAGGGAGGGGAGGGGGGTTATTCCATTTTCACAGGGACGTGGAGTGAAAAGGAAGTGGAGTACAAAACGCCGAGACTGGCAGATCCTATCTATTTCCAAGGCGAAGAAGATAGACTCCGTGGACACAACTGGGACGTTTTTCTTATCTCCCTGCACTGCTCCAGTTTCGCCCCTCCCGGGTCAATCTACTTTCCTTGCATTGTTGAGAAAATTCGATTTTTCAAGCTGCCTGTCGCGCGGACGGAGGTCCGTCGAACTTATCTCTGGTCGCGATAACAGACTCGTAGCTGTGCAATTACTCGCGATTATCCGACGCCTTTTTTTTATCCAAATGTATTTTTCCTTGATTGGCTATTGCACATCGGAAAACTTTACCATCGCCATCACCTTTAACTTGGCACGAATCAATCAAACTCGCCATACTCCAACCGTACACTCGACTCGTCTGATCCCAACACCCTCCTCCATATACCTATCGCATGAAAAAGGCCCAGACAGCTCGACGCGAGTAGCCCATCGGAGCAAAGCATCTTCCCGCCTCCGAATTTAAATTCCGTCAAGGCTCGCCTCCCCATTGGTAGGCCCATCCCGTCCCCTCCTTTCATTGCATCTACCGTGTGTATATATATATATATATATATATATATCCGCGCACACCCTTGCACCGTACGTACATACGCCCGATTGCGATCGGATCGCGTGAGGACTATCGCCTGCTCCTCTTCCTCGCCTCGGCGTTACGACGACTATCAGTCCCGACGTATCTCCCGCTTCCTCAAGACTATCCCACACACGCGCCCGGCCTTGCCCCCGCTCCCTCCCTCCACCATATAATATGGCCCCTGTATACTAAACTCCCCTTCCACGGTCGTACAGGGGCGATAGGATCAAGCGAGAGTTGGAGTCTCTCTGTGCGGGGCGGAGCACTTTTCCCGCGAAAACCCAAACTATTCGTCCCCCTTCCCGCTGCGTACAACAAGAACGGACGTGTGAGTTTTCCGGAACACGGGGCGAGATAAGACGCCACGATTGCTTCCTCCACGAGAGTGAAGGCGTGATCCTTGCGGGGGACGAGATCGCGCGCGTTAATTAAAAAAAAAAAAAAACCTTAGGAGGGACAGCCGGTCATTTATTGCCCAATCGAGGAAATTTACTGTCATGCGTACCGCTGTGAATCCTGTATACAGTGTAGTAGGGGAGCGATAAATAAAACCCGGTCGGGAGGCCAATTTCTACCGATTGCGCTTCCGTCTTCCCCGTGGCGCGCCTAATAAAAAAAAAAAAAAAGAAAAAAAAGAAATTGCCCACGTACGCTGTCGACTAAGAAAAACTCAAGCCTCTAGCAGCTATAAGGCAACAAAGAGCCAAAAAAAAAAAAAAAAAAAAAAAACATTAAACTCGCTCTATCGGACGGACGTGAGTCGGCGGGGAGACGGGAGTGTATATTTTTTTCCAAAGCCAAGCAGCGGCCTGACAAACGCTTTTTCCTTGGCTCCTCTGTCAAGCGTATATATATACCTGCCGCGCGAGAACGGATATCGCTTAATTACGAGCGCATGCAAAATCGAAAAAGACAACGAAGGAAGGGGGGGGGGATATATCGATCGATCGGCGATCGATTAAGAGCCGGTGGGGCGGGAGCGACGTCGCCTCCTGTTGCCGCGGTCATTGTCTCTCCTTCTTTCTTGCGCCCCCCCTCCCGTTTTTTTTACTTCTGGCATGTGTGCGCGTCGTAGCGAAGAGTGAGCTTTAATTAAATGTAAAGGGATCGTATATAGGAGTCAGAGGGGAATGTGAAATAGATTACACCGGGGCACCCAAGTTTTTCTCGGAACGGCTTACAATGGCGACGAGTGCCCTCTCTGCTGAATGAATCTCCAATCGGTGTCTCCATTTTCACCATACTTTCGTCTGATTTAATAAGAAAATCTAAAAGTTCGATCGTTTGGAGGTGCGAGTAAATTAGAGTCGTTTCTTTTTTTTTTTTTTTTTTTCTCGAACTCGATGGATACGAGGCGTGTCGGTAAAAAGCCAGAAGATGGTGCGAGGAAAAAAAGAAATAGTCTCTACAAAATCCTCGAGACGTGTGCTGTGCGGGTCTCAAACCGAGAACAGAGGGTCCGTAGTATAAGACGGCCGAGAGACAGACGTCAGTTTCGCGTCAAATCGGGATGGCACCTCCATCGTGGGTACGAAGCCCCGTATCGATCGCACGTGTGTCTCTACTCCTCTTTTTTTTTGATCAGCTTCTCCGACGCTCTTTCTTCCCGTGAATGCGAGGCTCGATCATCCGCGATAATCCCCCGAGAGATGTATCCCAGGCCCGCGCGGCTTAGCCCGAAATTATATCCACGAAAGGCTGCTTTAATTACAGAACGTCTCGAGAGAGCCCCCGCGAAAAGCCAATGGTTTTTTTTCCCTCCCTCCCGATGGGTGGAGCAAACAAAAATTCAAACGAGAAGCTTGAAATCCTTGGAAAAATGCTGATCCCTACACACGAGTACAATCGGTGTTTGGTATACAATACCCGTCGTCAAAGGTTCGGGAAGAAGTGTAATATCTTACGATAGATCTCTTTGCGCGGGCCGGCACATGTACATCATAAGCCGCTCGGAGGCATTGTTATTCGAGCCGAGCGACGAGTGTGTGCCGGGCTGGATTAATCGAATGAGCGTCAAATTAAGCGCTACACCACATAATGTTACGTAGCTGTTGCTCCCGGCAGTCGTACAGCGGCGTATAACCCGTTTTATATACACGGGCTCGCGCCCTCGATCGGACGCTAATATTGCGTGACTGTGCACGCGAAGCTTTAGCTGCTCCTGTGTATTAAAATATACGTGCAGAAAGAGACGGAAATTAATCCCCATCGCATGTGTGTTTGTAGTATACTTATACCGATGTATTCACCTTGGGCTATATATATATGTAAGTGTGCGTACTGGGTCTCGGGGGATTCATTTTTTCTTCCGCTGGAATCCGTGGATTTTATGATTGGTTGGCTCGAGGGACGGTGTTTTTTTTTCCGCGTAACGAGCCTCTTCTCCTGGAAAATATTACATTTTCCGGTATACGTATACAGTCAGTTTGGTTATAAAAAAATAAAAGTCCATTTTAATCCTCTCGTTACGTGAAACATATTCACGAGTTGCAAGTGAAGGGAAAGAATTTTTCTCCCCTTTCCTTCCCCCGGTCACATCCGCAACACGATATTTCACATTTCCAAGGTGTATAGAGGGTAAAAAACAAAAAAGCTGAAATCAAACGGAAAAACCGAAACAGCAGTGAATGGAGTCTGAGACGTTATTTACGGAAAAAAAAAAAAAAAAAAAAAAAAAAAAAAAATACGTATTGTGCTTGAAAAATAGGGGCTACACCGATAAAAACGTCATCGGAAACAAAAGCCTGCGCCACTCCTTTCCCGTACATACCTATATACTCTCGAGGGAAAAGAATATACACTCCCCCGCTACTCCACTTACCGTAGAACTCGGAGCTACCTCGCAAGATTTGCGGGCATTTGAAGACTCCCCGAGACACACTCGCTCGAAAGGAAGAGAAAGGAAAATCGAAGGGAAATTCCGTTTCCCTCGGG